TTTTCCCCTTCACTCTCTTGTAATCCAAGAGTTCACCCCCCCCTCTCTTTCTGACCTGCCAGCACAATGGCCAGATGTGTAAATGTTTCTCCATGTCACTTTTCAAGACATATTCCAAGAAAACGGGAAAATGAGGGGGGAGAGGAATATTTGACTTCACTTCATGGGAGACCAGCTTCATATATTTTGGCAGCTACACAACTGTTAAAGAAATAAAAAAAGGTAGCTTAGCCGCTTTGGCCGAAGGAGAAAGTTGACAGCCGACCAAACAACATGATCCTAATGAGTTGGAAAATCCCGAGCCCCTCCAGAGAACAGTCCAGATGCTACTGTCATAAGACAGGCTACTGTTTGGTTCAATTCACACTCACCTCCGTTTTCAACACAAAGGAGCATCGTTTATGAACGGATCAGTGAGACAAGAGGAGTTCTATGTTCAATTCTACTCTTCACAGCAGGTAACGTCCATTTCAGAAACAAAGATTACCATTCAAAGGGAATGTTTAACCCCTTATAGGGCCCTCAGTGATATACTTTGAAAATCCAAATTTCAGCCAATAGCGTTATTGGAATCCACGATAAAACCTGGAATAGGGATACTTTGATGGCAAATATTAACATGGAACGCCAACTTGCCCAACACATGTTTTTTTTTTGGTACAACATAACCTTAGATGCATTAATGTTGATACTGGCACTTATATTGTTTTGTTTATAAACCTAAATAAATTTGTTAACAAGGCTTATTAACTTTTTAACTCTACTTTTTAACTTTTCAATTAGCTTTTTACCATTTTTTTTTCTTGACCTGCCAAAATAAGATGTCCAGCCATGTAGCAGTATGTTTGCTAAATGGCTGGATATAGATCTTGTTCTTCTAGACCTCACTGAGGGACGGAGGGGGAGTCCATTTGTAAGGGGTATCCAAGTGATCAGAAATAAAAAAGGGTTAATAAATGTGTCCTTTTTAATTTCCAAAAAGATTTAGTATTGCTTTAATAAATAAATATTCTTAAAAAAAGTGAAATAACTTCACTTAATAAATAGTAGAGCTCTCATTCAATGAAAAGTTGAATAAGAGCTCTTACTTTGTACCAAATGGGATACTCCATGTTGATTCGCCATTTTGATGAGAGTCGCCATAACGGAACGAACTGGTCAACCTGAACTGTTTTGGGAGTATCTGTTGGTGAGCAGTTTAAACAAGAAAAGAACCATAGATTGTTCTCCTACTTTCTGTTGCAAAGGAGGACTCTCTGTACCCTTTGTCCAGTGAGAGGCAAGAGAAACAAATCAAAAAAAGGTGGTAACCTGGAGAAAATGAGAATCTAGTGCAGCCTTTACCAGTTGGAGACAATTTATGAGACAGGCGCACGGGTTGCAGTCTTTCTGCTGGAGAGGTATTTTAATCCAATATAACAGTGAAGTTTACTTTAGAATCAGGGCCGTGTAGATCAGCGACCAGTCTGTCACCCTGACAGAGATAGCTAGTTTGTTTGTTAGCAGGTGGAAAAGCTCCGATACGATAGTTATCAGCTGCTGGTTTTTTTCACTAACGTCCCACAAGCAGGCGGTCAGTTTACAGAAAGATTTTCCATTTGTTTGATGATTTATTTCAGCTGATTTGACAAGGGTGATGCAGGATGAAAATCTTTTACTCTGCAGCTTTAAATGTCTCCAGCAACTCAGTATATTTGGTGAAAACATGGATAATGTTTTTGACCGCTGCTAAGGCTTTTACTCCATGATGCCCGCAACACATTAGCTAGCCAAGTCCTGAGAAGTAAGGTTTGACTCAGTAGAGTTGGCTAAGAAAGAAAGAAAGTTTAGCGATTAATTCTCGGCGTACGAATGCCAGGGTTTTTAGCATGTTTCAGCGTGCTCATAACTTGTACAAAACGTACCCATAACTTATCCAACCTATGCCAATAACAGGCAAACTTATCCATAACGTACGGCAGCGTAATGCCCATTAAATAATGATTGTGCATCATTTCATGGGCATTACGAAGCATCAGTTATAGCTGCTCCATTCAGGCGCACCGTGCCCAGAGCTCCTGGTTTGCATAAAAAGATGTTTTTATCGCAGTATTAACCTAACTACTGTTTACCACCTGCCCAAAAACAAAAAAGGATAAATAAAAAGAATAAAGAAAAAGAAAGAAGGTTTGTAGTCGCAGCAGATTCAGGGCCATGTCTGCTAGGAAGATTATTGGTCATCCATCACCCTATGATGGAGAAGAATTCTGGAGAACTGAATTCTGGAGAACCTGTGAACTCCCGTTTTATACCAAAATGCTGCCATTATACAGTAGCTGTAAGTTAGAAACAGGTTCAGCCGTCGTCTGGAACACATCAAATAAGTCGATACGCATTGGAGATAAGTTCTTGATAAGTTAGCACACGTTACTAATAGGTTTTGGATAAGCTGGACAACACAACTTATGAGTAACTTACACTTAACGTATTGCAACAATATCAGATAACTTATATGTAACTTACTGCCCATGTTACTGCTTATACTTATACAAAACATACCCATATCTTATCCGACCTATGTTAGCATTTTTGCTAGATTTTTCGTACATCAAGCATACACTGGTCAAAATCGTCGAGGTGTGACAGGGGCTTTAGTTACGACCCAAGTAGCACATACAGAAGAGCAGCATCAGCGTCTCAAACACTTCCGACATGCTGGGAAAGCAAGAATTTGATGACAGAAAAGTGCAGAAATTATCTTTGTAACATGGAATAAACTGACATGATAGCAACAAGCGACACCACATGCAAAGAGGGTTTTCATGACCTCATGAGGCCAAGCTTTAACATTCCTCTATAAGCAACCAGAACCACCCGTTTAAAAACACCACTAACGTCACAAACTGTAAATCAAACCACTGATTGTTGGATTACAATGAAAACAAAGAGCTAGACCACAGTTAGCATCCATTTCATTGACACAAATTGGTAAGTAAAATGTGACAATATGTCAGAGTGATATAGCCGGTTGATAAGTTGATTATCAACCCAAAGCTGCATGCATCAAAGCATTGTTTAAATAAATATAAAGACTGCCGCTTGCCTGACAGTTTAATTTACATGCCAGAGCACCCTGTCAAGCTGTGACTCAGGGAGCAGTCAAAGCCACAAGAAAAAAGTTTTTAAAAGAAGGAGTAAGGTTTACAAAATTCCCTTTCTTTTAAACTCTTAGAAGGATTTTAGGAGGAATCTACCAATGTGAAGCTGCAATATCTGCTTAGTTTCTCAGGCTATGACTTAACTGTTAAAAGCTTTCAAATTTTGAATCTTTATTAAATCGGCTGCAAAAATTCATATATTTGACTGAATTATATTGAAAATAAATTCTGAAAAATTTAAATTTAATTTGTGTTGTGTTTTTTTCATACATATTTTTTGTAAGGTATAAAAAAAGTGTATTCGAGTAATCAGAAAAAATACTGTTAAATTAAAAGATGGTTAAAGTAATACTTTGGTAATACATCAATACCTACAGGAATCATTTGTGTTTGACTTATTTTACTAATCTTTTTACAGTTTCCCAATAAATTCCTGTTTTGTTATATTTTTACAAATTTAAGTCTAAGTTTAGTTCTGCAAACAGCAGGCTAAAGAAATTGCCAGAACACAATGATGAGCTTCTTTTTTTTTTTATTCAGCTGCAGACGACGAGCGAGCGAGTGCCGCAACTTCGGCAGTGAAGGGTCTTCATTTTCCTCCGGACGGATTTTCAACTCACCTTTTTTCTACCATCCAGCTGTGTGTTCTGAGGTTTCAACGAACTCAAGCTCCACCCAGGCCTGCACCGAACACTAAAGGGTATCCATTTGGTTTAAAAGAACTAGTACGATTGCCGGCTTTAGTAATAAGGTGTGGGGCCCACAAAGTTTATGTTTTCATTGTTTGTGCATATTTGTGGTTCAGTGTTTTAATAAACCAAAAACAAGGATATGTCATTAACCTAGAAAAAAACGTTTCAGTTAGATCATTTTCTATAAAAAAAAGGGAGAATTAAAATACAGTTTCCTGTATAAACAAAAAAAGGAATTCATCCAGAGTTTAATAATATAAAAGTATTTATTTTGAGTATTTGTTTTCTTTAAAGAATAAGAATTTTACATTTTTATTTTTTATTTTTTACATTGACATTTTTTACATTGCTTTAATCATTTTGGTATTCAGTAAATAATTGAGAATTGATTTTCTAAAACAGTGTGTGGTGTATTTTATTACCTTAAATGAGTAATTAATTTAATTTTGGTGGTAAAATCTTGATTAAACCTGTTAGTTCAGAGGTAGGTTAAAATAGTCCATTGGTGTAAACTTAAAAAGAGAAATTCAAAACAAATATTAAACGTGAGTTAATCAGGTTTAAGCTTAGTTGGAGATTTATATTTTAGAACAGGGGTCAACAACGCGGTGCCCGTGGGGGGCCCTCAGAGTCTTCTAAATAAAGAACAACCCACCAGTGGGCTAAGTTTAAATTTTTATTTTATTCTGTTGCTCCTTTTTTTAATCATGTATAGATATTTCAAAAATGACAATGTCTAAATAAACTTTTTTAAAATAAAAATAAAAAATAAAAATATGTTGATAATAATGAACAAAGTTTAGGCTAACGCTAACCCTTGCAGCTCATGGGTCAGTAATGGTCGCCCTTCCTAAGTCTCGGTACCCTTGAAGTGGCCCTCAGCCTTAAAAAGGTTGGTGACCCCTGTTTTAGAAGAACCCAAAAGCCCTGCCCTCATCTCTATGGTTACTGAGGGGAGCGCTACATAAAATATGTAAAAAGAATATGTTCAGATTATGGAAAGACTCTCTTCATTAAAAGAAAACATTTTTTTTTTTTTTTTGAGAAAATCACCACTTATCAGTTAATTAATGGTCAATCGACCATCGCTGGTTTAGAGGACTTTTCTAACTCAAAAAGATAAAACGTTAGTGAATACCCCATCAGTTCACATGACCCAGCTGTTGCTTACCTGTAACTTTAAACACCTCATTGTGCAGACTTTCACTGATCACTGGGGATCCATGGACCATACTGTGGGTCCAGCTCTGACATATTGCTTGAAGCAAAAGAGTCTGAGGCCTTGTCGCCTGAACGGTGAAGTGAGGAAGCTCCAGGATGCACTCTGCGGTGGGAACCGATGACCTTTTGCTCCTGCAGGAGAGAAATGACGAGACAGACAGGAATAAATCACCACTGCGAGTGTGGGCACAGAAATTCAATCCGTTAACCAGAATATCTTGATAAATGATTAGTTCAAAATGAGCAAGTAATCACCTTATAAAATGGAGTTTCTTTTACTTCAAAGTTAAAGAAATAAACTTTATTTATAAAATTGATAATTTGATCAAAGCACAATAAAAAAGCAACTCATTCTCAGTGAAAAAAGGGGCCAAATAACCTGAATTGGATTCCAGCAGTTAAAGTGAAGGAGTACCAGGTGTGAGCCAAGCTTTCCTTGGTTACTTGGCAAACAGGCTGAGTTTTTGCTGACCCTTTCTCCCCTGTTGTCAAAACTTTGACGATGATTTATGTGAAAAGATGAACCGCCTGGAAACCTGAGCCTGAAATACAACTCTACACATTTAACATTTTATATGTCTGCAGCATAGAGGGAGAGTTTTTGAGATCTTGAGCGCATGACAAGATGAGCTGAGTGTTCTGGGCGGTGAGGTAAGAGAGCAGTCAGATAGAACCCTGAAAACAGCCTCTGTCCATCAGAACCTCAGCGGACCACGGTCTCATTTATCATCTGCCATGCACACATACTCACTCTTAGGTGTTCATTTTGTTCTCCTTCCCCATTTCCAAACCCTCTACAGGTTTGTTTCATGTAAACTTGCTGTGTTTTAAATCAGTTTCCAGCCAATCACCAAAACAAAACAGAAACATGTTACTCAATTTAACTAAAAGATTCAAAACTACAGGTGTGCTTTAGTGGTTAGTGCACACGGCCCATGTACAGAGGCCTTATTCCTCGACGCGGCCAACCCGGGTTCAAATCAGACCTGTGGTCCTTTACCCTTGTCTCTTCCCCTTTCTTACCCCCTTTCCTGTGAGGCTACTGTTGGAAAAAAAGGGCAACTAGTGCGGTAAAGGAAAAAAAAAAAACATCCCGAACGAGGAATGACAATAAACATAGGGTTACGGCGCGCTTCTTTCTTGCATGACAAAAAATCGGATTGTTGTCCTCCACATTTACAACGCCTCACCAGAATTTACAAGGAAAACTATTTAGTATGCTGGTGCAGATGTTCAGTCATCCATGTCATAGTCATTCAAAAAAAAAGTAAAAAAAAAAAAAATACAGCGCAGTTTGTTTCCAAGTTTGAAGACGTTTTGCTTCCCATCAAGGAAGCTTTTTCAATTCAAATTGTAAGAATTGCCTCAAACTCAACGCAATTTCTGACATTTGAATTGAAAACCTTCCTGGATGGGAAGCAAAATGTCTTCAAACTTGAAAACAAAGTCCAGTGGATTGTTTTTTAACTTTTTTGGAAAAACTATTTAGTTGTTTGAACTAAACACAGAGAAAAACATCTGGATTTTTCTTTGTCTTGCAAAAGGTCCTCTGCAACACTGAATAGAGTGGACACTGCCCTGTTGTATCTCGTTATAGGAGTCTAGGAGTCAACCAAAATAGTCAAAGTACTGCCTTATGGACAGAGAATCAGTGAAAATAAAAGTGTGTCACCCCAAAAATATCTGCAGAATGTCAGAGTTGTGCCTCATTACTTATTTAGTCACACACAGATTATGGTGCGGTCCCAGTTCAGAGTTTGGGATACGTCACGGAGTCCCTCTTTTTTCCCTGAGCAGCTCTGCAATCGTTTAACTCCTCTGTTTCCCTCCCTCTTTTTTCCTCCAAGGCTCTCTTTATCATTCCCTTTCTTCTACTCCTGGGTGGCTCCCCAGTGTGACAAGAGCAGTGAGCTGCACTTCTGCAAGCTCTGAAGTGTCTGCTGTCTCTGTTAAGAGACGGAAGGTGAGAAAATCTGATAAAGAGGAATGTAGGAGAGTCAAAAAACTCACTAGTAGGAGTTAGAAACTCTGGAAATGACAAATGCAATGATCTTCACCTTGACTTTACACACATATGTAGAGAGCATGAAAAAACTTTTTATTTGAAGCCTTTGGCACCATGTTAAAGTATGCTTAGTCATTTGTTTTTGTCATATTAAAAATCCTCACTCTTGCATATTATAGAACACGACATCAACCAAACTGATTACATGCTTTAGTTGTGTTTAAACGCATACAAAGTCTGTGCGTGTGCGCGTTTTCGAGTGTACATTTTAAGACACCGCAGTTAAACAGAAGACAGCAAAGACGACACAGCACCAACAATGGTCCCACATGCAGAGCAAATGTGCTGGCAAAGCCACTTCAATGAAAGGACTGGCAAGGGATGAAAGTTTGTTGGCTTATTTGAGTGTTTATAGCATTTAAGGGAAGCCGTCATGAGCATGTGGTCCCCTAAAAGTTTAATTATGCACCTGTTTTATTATAATATACCCAGTTCTTTGTGAACAGCATCTTGGAAATAAATTAGAAGCAGAAACGCTCATTAGGGTGTTTTGGGAATGCTGGATGTGAGGACAGCCAGGCACTCATCGGATTTCATTAAGTAGCTGGCACGGATGGCGTTTCTTACTGCAGCATGGTAAACAGCTTTTTGGCAGGAAGCTTTTCACTGTTGCCACAGACTTTGAGCAAAACAAAAGCAACACAAAGGTCAAAATAAGTTAGCATCAACAGCAGACGCAGTGGTAAGATTTGGAGGTATGCTTTGATACATTCTTGAAACTTTATGTAGACTATCAAATAAAAAGCTGAGAGACCTACCCCTAACAACAATAGTCTCCTGGAAATTAACTCCACCTGTAATCATGCCAACATGTGCTGTCATACAACTGTTAACACACCTTTAGATATGCGTAGAAACTACTAATGGAAGCTCAGAGAGCCAAAGCACGATCTGCAGCGCTAATGAGTCCAGAACTGAGAGAATCCCACGGCTCTAACAGCATGCTACTTCAACAAATGAGCGCTTGCCTCGTCTTTGTTTGGGGTTCTGGGAGAACCTGCTCAGGAAAACTGGAACTGGACAATCACCTGCCAGAAGGGATGGTGAGGTCATGTGAGCCAGGTGAGGAGAGGCAGCCGGGAATTGCTGATTTCTGCAGGTAATAATCTGGTTATCCAGAACCCAAAACGGAGAAACAGCATTTGTTTAATCCAGGTTAAAATTAATTTGATTAGAGTTAATGGTTTTATCTTGGTTTCAATTTGAAGTCCACACTTTACATTTGTTTTGCAATGCCATGGGCTATTCAAATAGACTTTGACTGATAGCAACTACCCTTTAATCAACACAGCCTGTGCTATGGATCTAAATGCTGGGAGCTACTAAAATATTTCCTACTGCAGAACTGAGAAAAGGAATCGCTCGAGGCGTTGCTCTGGTTTGGGGTTAATTGCAAACCCCCTGCTGAGGACCCCCAGTGATCCAGTTTGTCTCATTGTAGCTTTGAGATGTAAAAAGGAAAGTTCTTACTGTTGTCAATGCTTATGCTCTGTTCAACAACTTGACAGCTTATTGAATTCAAATGTTGAGGGTTCCCTTAAAGGAAAAGACCGTTCATATTCAGAATTCAAACTCCTGAAAGTAATTTAAAAATGAAATTATTACATCCTGTTCTATAAATTATGTTTTTTTTATTTATTTTCATTTGAATGTGCTTTAATGGAGACATCCATGTGTGTCAAAGATCACTACTGGTTTGTGACGTCACGGTGCGGTATCGGCTGTTGATCAAGTCCCAGTGCTGTATCTGGTGTTTGTCACAACGCGCTATTATCCAAGTCATCTTG